TGCTCTACCACACTCTTCTGCCACTAGATGCTATCTCACCACAGGAATGGAACAATCAGCCATGAAATGGGACCTATTGACCAAAATAAACATTTCCTCTGTGTAAGTTAGTTATCTCAGGTTTTGGTTTTTTGGGGGGTTTTTTTGGTTTTTTTTTTTTTGGTACCGGGGATAGAACTCGGAATCTTGCGCTTGCGAAGCAGGTGCTGGAACCACTGAGCTAAATCCCTGGGCCATTTTTGGGGTTTTTGTTCTTTTTGTTGTTGTTGTTTTTTTGGTTTTTTTGGTACCAGGGATCAAACTCGGGATCTTGTGCTTGCGAGGCAGGCGCTGGAACCACTGAGCTAAATCTCTGGCCCCTTTTGTTTCATTGTGGTTTTGGGGGGGGGGGTACCGGGGATCAAACTCGGGTCCTCGCACTTTCAAGACAGGCGATGTAACCACTGAGCTAAATCCCGGGTCCTCTCAGGTATTTTGTTATAATGAAGGAAAGCTGACTACCACAGTAAAATTACATGAATTATAAATAATTGTGTTTGTTAGTGAGACCTGGAATAAATCTTCCCATCATAGAAGTAATGTCCCAAGGTATTAATACAGTACTCATTTTTACTTGTCTGCATCTGCTAGGAATGTAGACTCCAGATATCATGACAGGAATCCCAGATTCCAGTGGACGTTCTATACCAACCCAACTTAACTTGGTACCATGGTGCCTTTTCTCTTCCTTCTTCTGTTTCCTCTTCCAGTTCTGTAGCTGAAATCTGCTTTCTGTGAAGGTTTTCCCTATGAGAAATTGTGGAAGTGATTCCTATTTCTTTCTTTCTCCCTCACAATCTCAGCTCCAGTCACAGGTCTTCTTGCTGCTTTTGGAGTAGGCCAGGTGTGCCCTTTCCTTGGGGTCTTGGCCTTCTCCCTCCTGCCTGGACTGCTGTCTTCAGACACTTAGCTGCCTTCCTCTTTCTCTATAGCCACTTTCTCAGAAGTCTCCTTTTGGGGAGGCTTTCCTTAATAAGCCTTCTTCTCTAAAATTGTGTCGCATATTCTCTTTGCAGCTTCATTTTTCTTCAAACCACTTAAAATAATAATAATAATAATACAATCTTTCACTTATTTTGTATTGACTCCCTCCCTTTCCCCCACAAGCATATGGGCTCCATGATGGCTGACACTTTGTTTTGTTTGGTGTGTGCTCAGGGGCCTAAAAGAGTGACTGGTTCAGATGATCTCCTCGCTTGTCTGTTGAGTATACACACAGATATTAAGAAAATGTGAGAACTAATTTTCATGACTTGTTTTTCCCTTTGCCTCCATCTTTGCACAGTTGAATTCCCAGAGTAACCACAAAATCTTTCCAGATGTGGAGAAATAGAACTGTTTCAAAAATCAATCAAGGCTTAAGCATATCAACCTTTTTCAGATTCCATATTGGATGTAAATAAGATTTCATCTCTGCTCCCTATTCACCAGCCTTCACTTGAGTGAAAAAAATTTGGGGGGGGTACTGGGAATCGAACGCAGGACCTTGCGCTTATGAGGCAGGTGATGGAACCACTGAGCTAAATCCCCAGCCCCATGAAAAATATTTTTTAAACTCTTAGTAATTTTTTTTTCTTGGTCCTGGGGATCAAACTCGGGTCCTTGCGCTTGCGCAGCAGGCGGCGAAACCACTGAGCTAAATCCCTGGCCCTAAACTCTTAGTTTTAGGTGAGATAGACTCATATGCATGTCAGCATATTTCATGATTTTAAAGCAGAGAAATAAAGTGCTTCACCAACAATTTGCTTTGCCAAGTTCCTACCTTGTGCCAAGCTCTCTATGCCAGCCTCTGCAGGAAGTACAAAGAAAGAGCTAAGTACTGGTTCTTACGTGCCATAGGATGGAGAAGGAGGTAGTAATTAAGCAAAGATAAATAGTGTAGAAGGCAATGCTTCTGCCTCAGTCTCTGGCAGTCTCTGGCTCTTGTTTTCATGAAAGCCAACACTTTTGTGAAGAGTCTTGTGACAGACTCAGAGACTTCTGCTGTGTTGCCTTTCAACTCCAACTCTCTCCCCAAGGAAGAGAATGGGGAGGTAAAAGGTCAAAGCAATAGAGAGGGGCCTTGGGGACCTGGCGATGCCCAGACCTGTGGGGCACCAGTCTCATCTCACTCGGCTCTGCTGCTGACATGTAGAATAAAGCCGGTAAAGATGGAGCCTGGGAGGCTGGGCTCCCTCTCTAAATCCTGCCAAAATGCCCTCCCAGCTTGAGCAGCAGGGAGAAAGAGGTGCTCGCACCTGTCTCTGCTTTACAGGACTGGTACAATCAGGAAAAATGTGCCCAGGAGGCCTGGTTTCATCTCAGGGGATCCCATTTCCCCTGGTAGCTAAGGCAAGGAAGGGTACTCAGGCTTGGAGGTGGGTGGTTGGTCTTTCATAAACAGTGTGTTAGCTTTTCATCACTATGATATATACCTGAGATAATCAACTTATGAAGAGATTATTTGGCTCACGGTTTTAGAGGTTTCAGTCCATCACTGATTGGCCCTGCTGCTTTAGGACCTGTGGTAAGGTAGCATATCATGGAGGGGCCACATAGTAGAGTAAGCTGCTTACCTCATGGCGAAGAAGCAAAGAGACAGAAAAAGAAGAGGACCCAGGGCCCCCAGTATCCTCTTCCAAGCCACTCCCTTAATGACCATAGACCTCCCATTATACTCCACCTCCTTAAGGTTCCACCATATCCCAATAGTGCTACATCGAGAACCAAGCCTTTAACACATGGACATTTGGGTTGCATTTAAGATCCAAACTATGGCACAGTTTTAGAGAAAACAAATATATAGACAGACTTGCTTGCAGATAAACTAGCCCAATCATTTAGGGAGCTGATTTTTTTAAAGTTTGATTTTTTTTTCTCAACTATATATTTATAAATGAAGAGGAGGGAGTGAATATCATTAAGTGGTATTTAGTCTGGGAACAGGAGCCTAACACCAGGTTCTTCTCGGTGACAAGGCAGAAGATCCAACTCCTAGTGGATAGCTCAAAGGGAATAACAACATTGAGTTGGCCATCTGGAAAGACTAGCACAGCCCTGGACACAGGTGAGAGAAGCCCCTAGTTGTGTTCTCACACTTTAGGGACCCTCGCACGGGTCCTGTACTAGCTGTCCTCTAGAATAAGGAGTCCATAAGACCAAGGGGATGGGATCAACTCATGCCATGCCCCTCCACTATAGACCACATTCCATGTACCTGGGGACCTGGAGTTCCCTGCTAGATGACGCAGAGCTTTGTAGGTTTACACAGGACTTTTCCTTAGGTCCATCTTCTGAAGGGTGGGATGTGCTTCCTGTGAGGCCTTTCTAGGCCGGAGGGGTAGCCAAGAGGCTGTGTTTGGTGAATGAAGCTTGAATGAGAGAGAAGGTCATTTAGATATGAACACAAGGCCCTGGCAAGGTGAATGAAGCTAGCAGTGGGAAGAGAAGGAGGTGGGTTCTAAACTGAGGGCCAGGGGCTGAACCATAAAGGCCAGCTTTCTCTGTGTCACTATATCCAGGCCTAGCACTTCACAAAATCAGAGATTTTGAAACTTGAACTTGACTATCAAGGTCATATGAATGACTATTTGTAAAAATCAGAGGATAGGACATGTTTAGCCCATTTTTTTGCTTGATTTATTCCCTTTAAATATTGGGATCTCTGGTTTGTGTGCCTCCAATTGTCCTCTTGACTGGGCCATGCAGTTATCAGGGGTGGCCTTAGGAGTGCCTTTGAAGAGGGATTTTGATGACCAGGAAGGATTTAGATGGGGCAGAATGGTAGGAGGTAATGAGAAAGGCTCAGAGACAGACATTTTCAGATGACATCAGGCAGAACTGTGTGCCTTCTGTCTGCCAGCTCGTTGGCATGGCATGACATGAAGGGCCTGGGCCTTCTCAGCCTGGGCTCTGCTTACCTCCCAGGCATCACCTTTCCCAGTCTCCTTGTAATGCTGTGTACAGTCATCCCAGGCCATCTGGTTCACACAGTACACCCTGCTCTCTCAGACCTCCTGCCTGCACACGTGGTGTCCCTGCCCCTGCTCTACTCCCTCCCGGGCCCTTTCTAGTCCCTTTGCCTGCTCACTTCCTAGCCAATGCCAAGATCTCCCCCCATGACATCACTTACCCTGGAAAGCCTTCCCTGAGGGCCCACACCAGCTCACACCCCATGGTGACACCTGTCCGGCTACTTTGAAGGCACCTTGTCTGTTTCCACCAGACAACAAGTTTCTTGGATAAACTGAGAGTTTAGTGGGAGTATCAGAGAGCAGCACATTTGTTTCATTTCAGTTGACCTTTAACTCTTAGTCCTGATCACAATCCTCATAGTAATATTTAGCCAGAAGAAAAAATAAAAAGAGAATTTAAAAAATGTCTAATGGAGTTGGTTTGGTATGATAGGGAAAGCACTGTGCTTTCTAAAAAATTTTTCTTCAAGGCCTGAGTCCTTACAGGTGTCCTTGGTCTACCCAACTCTGTGTGTGTGTGTGTGTGTGTGTGTGTGTGTGTGTGTGTGTGCCCACATGCATGTGTTCAGGGGTTGAGTGAGGGTCCTCATTTGTCCACCCAGAGGCTTGGCTGGTAAAAGAAGGGAATTGGGTTGTCAGGGTTTTCCAACTCCATGTTCCTGAGGTCATCCTCGGGCACAGACTCCCTAGGGACCTCAGTGAGTCGCCTTGCGCTCTTCCCCCAAGACCAGGGCAGCATACTACTCTATGCTTACATGCTGGGGTTTCCTATAAACTTTCATCCTAAGATTCTAAACTTGAACAACAACAACAACAACAAAACCTAGAGCTCTAAAGCCCTTTCCAGACCCCAATTCCTGGAGTTCTGTAATTCTACAAGAGGAAATACTAGCTGGGTCCTGGGATCATGGGAGTGGAGGAATTGGAGCACTGGTGGGGATTCAGTGGAATGGAGTTTGTGCTTTTGGATCATCTGTGACTCTCAATGTCTTCCGTCCTTACCCCCAGGGACTCACTCTCTGAGATATTTCCGCCTGGGCCTTTCGGATCCTAGCCATGGAGTCCCCGAATTTATCTCAGTCGGGTATGTGGACTCGCATCCTATCACCACATATGACAGTGTCACTCGACAGAAGGAGCCTCGGGCCTCATGGATGGCAGAAAACCTGGCACCTGATCACTGGGACAGGTACACTCAGCTGCTGAGGGGCTGGCAACAGACATTCAAGATGGAGCTGAGGCACCTACAGAGGCACTACAATCACTCAGGTGTGGCTTCCCTGGAGAGGAGTGCTCCCTCGGGGGTCTTCCCAGCACAGGCTTCCCACTGCCTGTGGTGAATGTAAACAGTTGATCACTCGCACTCTCTGGCTTTTGGCAAAGCCTGGAAAATCTGGTTGAGGGAGTTTGGTGCTTACCATCTGCCTTATGCATCTTTCCAATTGTTCTTCTCTTCCCCAGGAGCCCTCTGTCCTTTGCTCCATATCCCTATCCCATTGCCATCCAGCCTTCTAACATGCATCTTGTCTTTTCCCATCCCACGTTTGTCTAGTGTGAGTGTCATTTATTGATGGCCAGGGTCAGTGATTTGCTAGCTTATGCATAACTTACTACATTAACTTTCCCAGGGACATTTCTGGTTCCTGCATATCTCTTACCACTGTACTCATAATGAACACAAAGTTTATCAATTAATCATTCCCAAGAATGATTCCTAACTCTCCAAGGCAGAAATTATCATGTTGCTATGGCACATGATGGGCACTCCACAAATATCTGTTGATAGGTGGGCTTACTGGGGCCATATGGCAGGAGGGGTGGTATCCCTAGGGCAGAAGATGCTTCTGGCCATGCTTCAGTCACCTCAGCTGAGAGCCACCTCTGTCCCTGTGTCCACCCCTTCATGGCTCATGTGTGTTTTCTAGGTTTTCACACTTACCAGAGAATGATTGGCTGTGAGTTGCTGGAGGATGGAAGCACTACAGGATTTCTCCAATATGCATATGATGGACAGGATTTCATCATCTTTAATAAAGACACCCTTTCCTGGGTAGCTATAGATAATGTGGCTCACATCACCAAGCGGGCATGGGAGGCCAATCAACATGAGTTACAATATCAAAAGAACTGGTTGGAAAAAGAATGCATTGCCTGGCTAAGGAGATTCCTGGAATATGGAAAAGATACCCTGCAAAGAACAGGTAAAGAGAAGAAGAAACACTTTGTTCACACATCCCCAGAACAATTAGTTCTATATGTGACTGTCATTTATGTAGGTGATATTCACCCCATGTTGAAGTCTGTCTGTTTAGCTGGACTATTGTAATATGTAATCCTTGTGAGAGCTTTCCTCCTTAGTTGTTTTTTCATATCATGTTTGAGTTTTGTTTGTGGTACTGGATGTTGAATACAGGCCCTTTGCACTGAACTACATCTACATTTTGAGTTAGGGTCTCCCTAAGCTTCTAAGTTATCCAGGCTGAGCTGGAACTTATGATCCTCCTGTCTCAGCCTCTCAGAGTACTGGAGGCATGTGCCACTATGCCCTCCTCAACACCATCTTGACAAGATTTAGCAATTCTACTTGTTTTGACAGAATGGAGTAACTTCTAAGAGCACCTCTTTGTGGGAGGAGGATCCAGGGAGGCAAATCCTTCCATCTTCTGTTAGTGATAAATTGGAAAATACTTTCAAAGGTCAGATAATTCATACAAATTGTTTAAGAGCCCCAGTATGAATAAAAATCTGGGTTTATGAAGAAGACAACAGAGGGTCTTTGCTTTACTTGAGGATTAATGCCACAATTCCTTTCAGAAGTAAAGAGCTCCTCTTCTACTTTAAAGATATGATTCTATTGGTCAACTTCTAGTTAATGGAGAATTTTTCACATACAATCTAATTATTGTAAATGAGTTACATCTGTACCGTTCTACAGGAAACTCCTAGACACAATGTACCTTTCCCACAGGAGTATTCTCCAGTGGAGGGACTTTCCTGAACTGTGGCAAGCCCGGAGGGGAGGCATCTGAGCTGCAGTAATGAATACACACTGTCTTAAAAAGCACAGGCTTTGGAAGATGACTAGAGTTTGATTTTGACTTTCTACCCTAATAATTGAATGACTATCTTAACATTAATGATTTCAGGAAACACAAATCTATTCAAACTGGCTCACACACAAAGAAGGAACTGATTTTAAGGCAGGAATCAGGGCAATATGGAGCCTGAAGAATCAAAACCAAGATTTAAATGGGCTTCTCCAAGAAGTGGAGTTGTGGTCCCAACACAGAGCTCATATCCTTGGCTTTACTGTTCTGGAAGAATGGGCTGCTCTCTCCCAGCATTAGTAACCTAAAGAAATAAATCACAGGAGGATTCTGATTGTCCTGAGTTGAGTCATATGCCACTTCTTGAACTACTCACTGTAAGCATCAGGATAAGCTTCTAAGATTGGCTGTGGGTAGCAGAGTCTGGGGAGGAACTGAATGGCATACTCAAAATGGTTTCACTGAGGAGAATTCAATAAAGGTTCATCTGCAAAGGTATAATGAGGATTGAGGAAACCAGTAGGGGAAGGTGAAGTATCTGGAGACTTGAACAGTGGGTAGTCATCCCCTCCCATGATCCAAAGGGCAGGAGAAGGGAATATTGCAAGCAGAGCCCAGCCAGAGCCGGTACCCTGGCAGAAGATCCAGATAAGAGCTGTGATTTTGGAGGAGCTTGTAGTGAGGTGCATTATGGAACTGGTAAAACTTCATTTCTCCTCCAGCTTTCTCGTTTTTGGCTGAGGATGCTCATCCCAATGGCCAAACTCATCTGGAAGCTAGAGGCCAAGGGAACCCTGGAGGAGCAAGCTGAAGAGTCCAGCTTTCTGTAGTCAGAGCAAGGGAAGGTACAGAAGGTCAGGGGCTAGCAGAGTCTCAGCCATAGCACACAGTTTGGAGAGGGAGTATTAAAATTGGCACTTCTTAACAGAAGTACAGCTGGGCATGGTGGCACACACCTATAATCCCAGCACTCAAGAGGCTCATGCAGAACAATTGCCACAAGTTCAAGGCAAGCCTGGGCTACATAGTGAGTTAAAGGCCAGCTTGGACTATATAACAAGACCTTGTCTCAAAAACAAACAAATAAATAAACAAACAAAACCCAGCATGTTGGAGTGGGATATTTTCCAAAATATGTTGTTTAGCAGGAGAAGGGGTTCCTGTTGTCAGAAAAAGTGGAGCTAATAGATACTAGGCCAACTAAGCAATAATATTGAGTGAAATAAATAGTGTAATAATGCTTACCTCAGGAAAATTGATATGAAATAATATATATGAAAACACTTTGTAAGCTGCCTGGCTCTGTTCACACAAATTGGGTTTATGGATTAATCCTAATCCTGTGAATTCTCCCAGGTGTGAGTTACTCTTTGGAGAAACTCGGTTGTTTGGGAAGAATGTGGGAATTTCAACTTCAGGGTATCTGCTCTCCCTTTGAACTATCCTCTCTATCCACCCTGACTGTCCTAATGGGGTCTCAACCTTTTGATCAAAGCCCATGCCTAGAAAAGGATTTAGGATTAATTTTTTTAAAAGGTTTTATTTGTACATGTTTGCAGTGCATAATGATTACGTTCATCACGGGAAGTTGGTACATGTACATACCCTACTTCAATTCTTTTTACTCTGCCCCTCCCCCCCGCCAGGGGACAGCCACTGTCAAAAAGCAGTCTCTCTCGGTGCCATTTATACTTTATTTTAATGTTAGAAAGCCTTTTTCTCCTACTAAATTTCATGCCTCAGCAAAAAGACAAAAAAAGGCCTTGTTGAGGTGAAGGCTTTTCCTGTGTCCAGAGTAGCATTTAATACAGTTGGGGTGAGGAGGTAAATCTTAGAGATGAGCAGGGCACAGTTTCTCCAGGTATATGGTTGGTCTCTCTATGGCTCCATGTTTTGGTCAGAGATGTTAAGGATGGCACCATATGGAAAATTAACAGTAGTCAGGAGGAAGCAAAGTCACAAATAGACAACTCCTTGTCCTGCTGGAGCCCCCTTATATATGAATTTCTGTGGCTCCTTTGAGGGTGAATTATCTATTACATATGTTTGTATCTGATGACACTCATGAAAGTGCCATCCTGATACAGGTGACAATTCAGAACCAAAGCTGAGCTGAGATGTCTGTGTTACTTATTAACCCTGAACACAGAATTGAGAACAAAGGACGCTGAGTGGTAACCTCCAATCTCTTGGTGAGTTACTTATCAGGAATAATCACACATTTTGTGACTCAGTTTTGCTTGACACGTAAATGTATTGGTTTCTTTTCTTTTTCTTTTTTTTTCTTTTTTTTGGGGGGTACCGGGGATCGAATTGGGGTCCTTGCGCTTGCGCAGCAGGCGGCAAAACCACTGAACTAAGTCCCCGGCCCTCGTAAATGTATTTCAAATAGTAAACAATCTTGACACACTTTCTAAACAGTGCTATATCCCCCCCCCAACAGGTAATGTGCTTCATTTCCTAGCACACTGTCCTAGTAGGAAGTACATAATAAATAAGTTTGTTGTTGATGAATCTGAGTTCTGGGCATTCTTAACATTAGATGTTTCCTACAGTGAGGAAAAATTAATTGGGAAACTTATTTGCAAAGTTTTAATATTGTATGCTCAGTACCCAAAACATTTAACCCTAGCTTTTTCTTCCTAGAACCTCCACTGGTCAGAACAAATCGCCAAGAAATTCTTCCAGGGATTACAACTCTCTTCTGCAGAGCTCATGGATTTTACCCCCCAGAAATTTCCATGATGTGGATGAAAAATGGGGAAGAAATTGTCCAAGAAGTGGATTATGGAGACATCCTTCCCAGCGGGGATGGAACCTATCAGACATGGGTGTCTATTGAGCTGGATCCTCAGAGCAGTGACATTTACTCGTGTCATGTGGAGCACTGTGGCCTCCAGATGGTTATTCAGGCCTCTCAGGGTAAGGACAAGGGTCATAGCTGTCTGGGGTATGAGACTGAGGAAAGAGGCTGGGCAGGAAGCTGTGCTGCCTACCAGAGAGGAAGGTGAGTCAGTGCCACACGCAGTGGGCTATAGGATGAGTCTCTTAATCAGCGGTTTTCACAATGTTTGGTCCCAGAGCTCTTTTATACTCACTCAAATTATCGAGGACCTCAGAGACCTTTTTGTTTTATGGGTTATATCTACTGCCATTTACTGTATTACAAATTTTAAATTTTGAAAAATTAACCACAAGAAAACATGGGCAGATATTCCATTAGCCATCAGGTTGATGAGTGAGATGTGACAGTAAGAAAAAATATTGGTTTTCCACTAATCACAGTGACAAAAGACTCAGAGTTACCACAGAAAGGAAAGGGGAATTGTGGGTTTTCCTCATTTGCTTACTTTCAGAACCGAAAATCATTTTTCTGATGACAAAAGCTGTCCCTGTGGCCATAGGGCTCGCCATTGTCCTGGCTGGAGTTGGCATTTTGGCCTGGAGAAGAAGGCTTCGAGGTAAGAGGGTGTGTAGAAGGATTCTGGGGGGCTGTGAATGGTCTCCTTCCAATGGCTCCTTAGAGTTTTGTTTTCTGTCTCTGCCTCTCTGAGATCCATTTACACGTGGGTCAGTCCTCATGTTGGGATCACAGAAGGACGTGGGACAACTCTCCCACCCTATAGGATGCACACACTGTGGATAATGCTTGTAGTCTGTTTTCTTGTTGTTGTTGTTGTTGTTGTTTGGTACCGGGGATCAAATTTGGGGCCTTGTGCTTGTGAGGCAGGTGACGGAACCACTGAGCTAAATCCCTGGCCCTGTAGTCTGTTTTCTTAGGTAGAAAATATTGTGACCTTGAGTTGTTTTTCCTTAACCATATCCTTATTATCAATCACTATTGACTTCTGAGGAAATGTTGCCCTTTCTTTCAAGACTACAGTTAGTTTTCCCATTTTGACAACCATTTTTCTATCTCAATCATGTGAAAGTCCTTTTCCTTCTAAATTCATTTTTTAAAATAAAAGTAGATACTTTTGGAGAATAGGACTTGGATTAAGGAAAAGAGGAAGGAGAAACAGAAGATATATGGTCTCTTGATATTGTGGGGAAAATTCATTCATTAAATATGTATTTAATACTTACTGTGTTCCAAGCATTGTGCTGGTTGCTGGGAGATAGCGATGAGAAAGTAGGACATGATCCCTGTTGTCACAGAGCTGATGGTATGGTCTTATAAGTCTATTGTCTGCCTTTCTTCAAGGTGATCACAGGAAATGTTGATCAGACCTGGATCATGGCTTGGAACCCAGGTGGCCATGAGCTGTGCTTTGCTTCATAGCCATAGACTTGAGCCCAATTCACATGATACTGTACAAAAGCATGTTATTAGATCCTCATAAAACCAATGCCTTTAGTGGGAAATCAACTCCGAGAGTTAGTGAGTCATTAATGTTTCCTTTATCAGTAAAGTACGGCACTAATCTCAATCCAATAAATGATAGCTGTTGAAGAAAAAAATTTTACACTTACATACATCTCTCTGGAAAGATACAGACTGAGTTCCTGCTTTTATTTTGTGGAGTTTGTGAATTTGAGTTAAAATTTATTAAGTACAAAGAGAATCTTGAAAAAACAAGCTAAAACTGCCAATGCCTGCTCCTCAAATTTTGTTAAACATTGCATACTTTATTTTTGAGCTGTGAGGATATGTACATTGTGTATCTGATTAAAACTTTCTTTTCTTTCAGGGAAAAATGAAGTTATCTACCATCCTACATCATCAGATCAATGATTGTAATTCTCCTTCCCAGGAACCATGGTGTATTTATTGATCAGCTTTCCCACTGGTGGAACAAAAGAGGGAGGTTTATTTTGGCTCACAGTTTCAGTCCATGGTTGGCAGGCTCCAGGGCAGAAACATCACGGCAGAGGGCATGGCACAGGAAAGATGTTCAATTCATAGCATCTGGGAAGCAGAGAGCAAGGGGCCAGGGACCAGACATGGTCCCCATGGTCACACCTCCATGACCCACTCTGGCATAGCAACAAGTGCACTTTATTAATCTCCTAGTGATCTTTCCACCCACTCGAGATAAACTATCACACATGGTTTCCTCTGTCTCTCACGCACTTAAGGCCAGTGATCGAAGCTCTTGACCACACCCACAGCATGCTTGCGTATTGTAGGACTGACCGTGTATGGCAGAAATATAGAAACCACTAAATTTTCTTTGTTATTTGGACTATTGGCTTCAGGCCTTTTTGATGGACTCCTTTATCATATTTGGCTTTAATACAACTTGTCTTATAACACTAAAATTCCCTACATCTCATTTCTCAATGATGATTTATGAGTAGATTAGAGAATTTCAGCCTAGCCTCTTCTTGGACACTGAGTGATGAGTACTTTCACACATCACACAATGGCCTTTCTTGTTCATTTCCTTTTTAAAAATTTTTTTATTTTTTGGTATTTTATTTTTTGGATTGAACTCGGGACCTTGCGCTTGTGAGGCAGGCGCCGGAACCACTGAGCTAAATCCCCAGCCCTCTTGTTCATTTCCTTTCATGAGAATGTTTATTATGCAAGAGCTTTGAATATCATGAGTACCATGACTATGACCCTATGGGTAGGGTTAGACTGCCATGAGAGCAGCAAGCAAGTTTCTACAACAGCCTGTGAATGGCTTGATTATTTTACACATATTCTGGCCTGGCAGAAAGCAAAAGTTCTTCATGATGACATTGTCTGGTAGCTTGGAATATTGGAAGTATGCCTTATAGGTATCAGACATACTGTGGCATCCAGTGGAAGTACAGAGACCTGGACCAGACTGTAATATTTGAATGTAAATATGATAGTATGTACCAGGCATGGTGGTGCATGCTTATAATCCCAGGACTCTGAGAGGATGCGGCAGGAGGATCACAAATTAGAATGAGACATTGCCTGAAAATTAAAAACTGAAAAGGTCTGGGGATGTAGCTCAGTGTGAACGCCCTGTGTTCAATCCCTAGTAACCACACAAGATAGTGTTTATGTTTCAGAAGAAGATTAAATTGTGCGCACGAGCGTGTGTGTGTGTGTGTGTGTGTGTGTGTGTGTGTGTGTGTGTGTGCTGCGGATGGAACTCTGGGCCTCAGGCATTCTAGGCAAACTTTCTATCACTGAGCTATAACCCCCTACCCCAGAAAGTTCAATTCTAATGTCTGCCTTCCCTAAACTGTCCTGTTGTAGGTAGGCCTGACTCACCATCATACATATGCTTCCTATTCATACATATATACTGAGAAAAAGTAAAAGTTCCATTCGAGAATTAACATCCCATCACTCCTCTTTACCTTCCCCAACCCCTAAAGTCCTCACCTCCTATCTTGCTGTTTGTATCTACTCATCCTAGAGTTGTTAGCCACACATTCATCTGTCCTATTTCTCTGACCCTGTTTGACTGCACATGTCAGTCTTGATACTTACTTTAGTGCCCACGACACTGACAACTGGCTTTGAATATGTAACTCAGCCTCGACCCCTGCTCTACCTTGACTTCGGCTGTGATGTTAATAATCACAGCCACAGATCACAGCCCTGTCAGTGTGCAAGCCTCTAAGAACCCACCTGCCAGGCTCACTCCCCGCTCCACTGTCCCCAGCTAATTCCATGGATTAAGCCCCCACTGTACATCTCTCTTCTCCAGGGCCTATTGGGTTGCATAGGAACACAATCGTGTTTGGTCTGCTTTTAGGGTTGCCATGGGCAATATCTATATTGTCTTTTAAACAGTGTTAGACTGTGGAGAAAATATATGCAATTTATTTCTGGAATGGTTTCTTCTGACAATCAGAATAGTTAGGATGTGATATGTTTTTTGATAGGTACTTAAAATGATACAGGTGATATAGCTATGTAGATGTCTTGATCCTCCACCTGCATGGTACTCTCATCAAAGGCATGATGGACAAAAGTCTCTGTGCTCCCAGAGCCTTACCCAATTGATTTCCAAATGGATGAAGACGAGGAAGCAAAAACGATGGATGGGGTGTAATAAAGAATATGGTGAATGTCCATTTAAAAATTATTCCTATAAAAGGCATATTGCCATTACCCCCCTCAAAATATTCCCCCTTGCTTTGAATACACTTATCCCGTCATTCTTGCACTTCCAGAAGTCCTCTATTGTGAGTATCTTTAGTCATGCTATCGTGACTGCCTTGGTGTCCTGAATTGATTTAAAATGTACCTTTCGTGGTCATTTTGATTTGGGGGAAGAGCCAGAAGTTACATGGTGACCAATCCAGTTAATAAGGTGGATGAGGATGTTTCATGTTTTTATTTTACAAAAATTGCCGAAAGGGTTGGGGATTTAGCTCAGTGGCATCGCATCTGCCTTGCAAGTGCAAGGTCCTGAGTTCAATCCCTGGTACCATAAAAAAGAATTGCTGTAAAATTTGATCAGTGATAGGTGGTAAAAAAAATACGGTGCATCTTTAAATTAAAAAATTGTTATAGTAAAAGACTGTTGTTACTCCCCCTCAAAATACTCAAAATATCCTTCTACTTCGCACACACTTAGCCCATCATTCTTGGCAATGTGTCTTTTATTGTAAGAACTGTTTAAAAATTTAAACATTCATTGCACTTTTTTTCAATCACCCCTTCTATGCATTTGCAGCATTTTTCTTTCTCCCTGGGGGATCTTGTAATATAAAAAGTATATAGCAGTGATTTTTGAAAATACCTACAATTTAAGTTGGGGCTATTACTCATGGTAGAGCACTTGCCTAGCATACTTAAGGCCCTGGGTTCTATCCCCAGAACTGCAACACAAAAACAAACAAACCTAAAGTTTTAAACCTTATTTTTATTGTGGGTGATTCAAAATTGTATTATTTCTTAATAATTTTAGGCTTGTCATTTCACTGATTCATGTTTATTGATTATAGATGCTCAGTAATCAGAATATTTGAAACAGTTGGTAGTATGATCTAAATATTAAAAACAAAGGGCTATGCTATCACTAGAGTTATGTTCTGGCCTTGCATATCTTTACTTTTAGATATTTTAGATGGAGAGTATTTTAAATGAGGAACTTGTTCAACTCCTTTTTTTTTTCAATTCCACTACATTTATTATCTGTTTTCTCTTTAGTGTACACAGACCAAGACGTCAAATGGCAAGGCAGAAAGCAGGGAGGTAAAACAATTTGAAGTGTAGACGTCAGGCTAGGTTTTCCTGGACCACACTCTGTCACAGGTTCCTGAGCTCTCCTGTGAGGTCTGGACCCCTTTCTCTTCTTATTCCAACTATTTCCACATTCTGATCCTTCCCTCATTTCTGAGGAACTATTTGTTTTTTTTCTTTCTCTGTTTTTGGCCTGTGAGAACAGTGTTTTGGCCCTTGTGGCCATGAGGAACAGATGTCCGCTAGGGAGGTAAGCTGGTTATTTTCTGACAGGGTGCCACAGAATGGTCACACCTTATTTTGGCCACCACTGCCTAGGGTCTTTGTCTTCACATGTCCAGGTCAAATTTCCCTGAAAAGATGATCAGATGGATGCAAAAAGTGGAGTCTCATTGTATTAATTTTCTGACCCAGGTGGGCTGGGAGTCTATTTCAATGCATCTTGTAGTGGGAAAGTCTACATTCAAACAACCAAATCCCAGTGCTTGGTGCCCCAGAATTGGAGCAGGGAGACACACTTTTATTTTTTATATTTTATTTTTCACTGTTCTTTTCTGGGGGTTGCTATTTTTTCACATACAATTTATTAGTTCACAGAATGTTCTCCAGGGAAGAGGGGATTTGCCCAAAGCCACATACAGTGAGCAGCAGAGCTGGAAGGGAGCGCAGATTGCCTGTTTCCAGCCCAGGTATTTTCTACTTGACTGCCTTGCCATTCTTAGAGGATGATTCTCCACCACTCTTTTTGAAATGCCTTCATCATCTCCCTTTCTTTGAACATTTGCCGTCTTTTAGTCTTTGTCTTTCTTTAATATCTTTGCATCTCCCTTTTATCCTGGGCTCCCTTTCTCTGACATCCTTCTAGCTTCTGGTTGTCCCAAACCCTACAGACTCTGTAACAAATCTCAAAATCTAGTGGCCATGGGCCAGGGATTTAGCTCAGTGGTTCCAATGCCTGCCTCGCAAGCGCAAGGTCCCGAGTTTGATCCCCGGTACCAAAAAAAACCCACAAAAAACTAGTGGCTTAAAAACAATAATCATTTTACTATCTTTCTTAGTCTTTATATGTCAGGAACTTGAGTAAGGCTTGGGTAGGCAATGCTGGCTGTAGTCTCCCATGGAGTTATAGCCAAGTGGTGACTAGAAGTAAAACGGTACAGGACTGGAGCAGCTGAGAGTAGTGGCCAGGCAGCCCTCTCCATTCTGTCTCAGGGACTCTCCATGTGGTGGTCTCTCTTTGTGGGTTAGTTTGGGGTTCTTCACAACATGGCAATCTCAGGGCAGTCAGACTGCTTACATGGCAGCCAGCATTCTTCAGGGTGAATTTCCTGAGATCAAGGCAGAAGTACACAGAATTTTTATGGCCTAGCCTTGGAAATACTCAGTGTCACTTTGTCACACTCTTAATTTGTCAAGGAAATCACAAAATGCTGCTCAGTTTGAAAGAAAGTCTGGGTATAGTCTCAACACTCAGTGGGAAGATTGTCAAAGTTAAATTGTAAGAAGAGCATATAGATGAGAGTTCCTATTTATTCAATAGAGTCCTCTAGAGTTTCTGATGCCTCCACCTCTCAGTAAGAAAGTCAAGTTCTACCAGAGGGGAGATGCTAATTAATGCCTTTTAGTAGGTTAAATATGAGCTCAGACAACAGGTCCTTAGGGTTCCCTGGACATAAGATTGCTAGAAACATGCAGACTGTGTGGGACCCAGTACTGAGGAAGAATCCCAAACTATGGCTCCAGGGGAACACCCTGAGACTTTCACTTTGGCTTCCTTTTTCTTTTTTGGTACTGGGGATCGAACTCAGGACCTTGCACTTGCCAGGCAGGCACTGGAAACACTGAGCTAAATCGCCAGCCCCGGGCTTCCTTTTTCAACAAGTTCCCTTTCTGCTTCCCTACAGCTGACATAGCTGAATAAAAAGAAAACTGAATAGGGCCAGGAATTTAGCTCAGTGGTTCCACCGCCTGCCTCGCAAGCTCAAGGACCCGAGTTCGATCCCTGGTACCGAAAAAAAAAAAAAAAAAGGAAACTGAATAAAGGTAAAAGCTACTTTGCATGAATGACTTAACATGCAGAAAGATACAAGCCACCCATAGGTTCTATGAAATGTGGCTTTGTTGAGTTGTGTTTGATTAAAATACTGAACCTAGGACCAGGGATTTAGCTCAGTGATGAGGCCACCTGCCTCAAAGAAAAGCTCAAGGTCTGTAGTTTGATCCCCGGTACCGAAAAAAAAAAATGCTGAACCCACCTGTTTATTCTGTTTCTGGATTGTAAACTAACCGAGGACATGATTAGGGCCCCAGCTAACTCATAAAGCACATTTGTGAGTAAACACATGCTTAGCCGGCAGAACACAAAGTGGTCTTTGACCTGTTTGCTGTCTCAGTGGGGGAATTGTGCAAGGCACAACCTTACATGGTAGCTCTAGTTAAACCATTGGAAAATAGATGGGAATTGATTGTATACTAAAATGATTATTTAGAATAGCTGAATAATGGTGGGGAAAAAAACTAGGTTTATTCACCTAAAATGATAGGACTAGAGTTCTATATAGAGTATCCAAATAGTTAAAATTATCTAAAAGGTTTTACATAATCCTATCATGGTATTTATTTATGGAAATCTATTTTTAATTTTTTATGTAATATTACACAGTCTGTTTGTATGATACCTTACGTGTAGTAGAAACTCAGTAAATATTTCTTGAATGAGCCGGTACAGCATTTTAATTAGCTAGTCTTGGTGTGCTGTTGCAAAAGAACAGTGTCATCTTACAGCTGAAGTCATAAAAGCAAAATATCCCAGAAGGATTATGTATCAGTCCAGGGGCCCAGGGTGCACGGTCCATGGACTCATTTTGACTCTTCACAGGTTTCAGCAGAATTACCATACTTTATTTAACAACCTTTATCTTGTGATTGCTTTATCTGTGTGACTTCTAGCAACCCCTGCACCCTACCACGCACACGTATTAAAGACAAGACAGAATCCAGAGGTTCTTACATGAGGTGCCACTTTTCTTCTCTTTCTTTTTTCTGGTTCTGGGGATGAAACGCAGGACCTTGTGTGTCTTAGGCAAGCACTCTACCACTGAGTTCCATCCCCGGTTCGGTGCCTAGCTGGTAAGTAGAGGAGCTGATAAATGAGTTCTCAGCTATCTTGGGGGCCCAAATATCTAGTAACTTCTCTATATTTGTTATTCTTAAGGCTAATAGAGTACTTCCCTCCTATCATCATCTAGGTATTTAGTTATTGAAGGTTCTTTTTTTTGGTACCAGGGGGTCAAACTCAGGACCTTGAGTTTGCAAGGCAGGTGGTGGAACCACTGAGCTAAATCCCTGGCCCATGAATGGTTTTAAAATACAAATTTCCCCTTATTCCTTAAGTTAGAAGTACTTGTTCTTGGGAAGACTGGTCCTAGATGCTTTTCCCTCTCCCCCGCCCGGCCCTTGTTCAACGTCAGCTGACCCAAACAGAGGGTTCTGCATTTGTTCCTTGGAAAGCATTCATGTGAGAGAAGGTTTTGGTGCTGAGCTGCTGAGTGGCAGCTGGAAGGCTGGGTTGGCCGAGCAAGGCCTGGCAAGGCTGGCCTGGATCTGAGGTAAGCGCTGTAGCAGCAGCCAGACCTCTGAAGAAACACAACAGGGGCCAGAGAGAGAGAACAACCTAGGAGAAATGCAGCTTCTGAGAAAACAACTTTGCCTATGGAAAGTATAGTCAAGGAACAGGAAGCCACAGGACGAAATGGGAAGCCACTAAAATGGAAAAGGAAGCGAAACCAAGTGAAGAATGAAGCATGCAACCCCAAGCTAAACCAGTCTTTGCCTTTTTTCCCTTGGGAGGTATCAGACCACATCCTAAATTTACTGGAACTCAGTAAAAGCTCTATTTTTCTCCTGAGCAATACAACAGTAGCATAAATACAGAATTCCAAGAACATTCTGGGAAGAAACATGCTCTAATGGGTAACAATTCCAGGGAAATTTGAGGGGCTAGAATAATAAAAACTAAAACATTTAGAATCCCATCAGCTACTGAAATTCAACCTCCTCATGTACTTTAAAACACCTAAAAGCATATATTCCACATTACTCACAGAACAGCCACAAATACATAATCTGTGCATTATGCACAATGGGAAGTGGTCAAACTAGACATGACCTCCAGAGGCTGAGTACATGGGCTACCTTCTATCTAACTTAAAAAAAATGGAATTAGAAGGCCGGGGATTTCGCTCAGTGGTTTTGCTGCCTGCTGCACAAGCGCAAGGACCTGAGTTCAATCCCCGGTACCAAAAAAACCCAAAAAAATGGAATTAGTCATTGATCCTAAGGATCCCTGAAGAGGAAAGGCAAGATGCTGTAATCCAATTTTGACCTTTTCAACTGAAATGGAGATCAAATTTCAAAGATGTGTAAACTACTCTGCTTCATAGACTTGACCTCAGTCTACAGGAGGACTTATTTACAGGCCCAAACGTGAAATTTTCCCCCAAAATTCCTGTCACATGGAATTATTAATTTCTCTGTGTGACATTGTATACGATATTTTCATTAAAGCCACAAAGTTTGTTTACCCCAGTTTTTATTAATGATCTGTTAAAACTTATTGATACTCAAATTAAATTCCTATAGCCTTCGTTAGTTAATCATAGAATGTATGTTCCAAGAAGCCTGCAACTCCAGTGTCGAGCACATAAAAAGCATTCAGTACCTACATATATTAAGTAAACGAATTGCTGTTAACACCCACTAGGAGCCAGGGTATGGCAGCAGTAGAGCCCAGTGATGTTTTGAAAACTATCAAGTGCAAATCAAGCTCAACATCATAGCATATAATTTTAGAGAAAACAATTTAGAACGTATTTCTATAAATAGTACCTGGGTTTTGTGCTAATTGAAGAAAAACAACTCTGGCAATGAACTTTTGCAGTAATGCTGAAAAGAATCACAGGTTGATAAAATTTTAAAGTGAAATGAAAAGGCCTGCATATTCACATGCCATGAACTAAAGGGAGCTGAACCAAAGCCTCCTTCCCTTCAGCAGCCAGGCTGGGCTTCCAGGACCAATAGGCCGCTGTGATGGTGACAGCCAGGAGCACAGAGATGTACTGCAAGAAAAATGAGTTCTAATCCTCTAGTTTCCTTTTGCTTCCTCCAGCTACCTGATCTGCAGAAATACCTGCCTCGCTAAACTCCTATTACTTTTTGGTTCTGCCACCTAACTGACTCCTAGCAAATCTGTGTTGTTCTTTATCTATTTCCGCACAGCTCATTTCTCTTCTGACAGTGAACCTCTTATGGATGCAGTTTGAACTCCATCTCCTTCACTTAGTATCAGGGTGATCTGAAATTATCTAACTTCTCTAAACCTCAGTCTTATAAAAACAGGGCTGGAAGAGAATCTGTTCTCCCATTTCTTTGGGGGAACTCAAAGAATGTGTGTGTGTGTGCATGTGTATGTGTGTGTGAAGGCATGTTAGCACATTACACAGGCCAAGGCACTTTGTCTGTGTCCCCTTTGTGTATATTCCAGAAACTACTCACTGTGTCTCTTGGACATTATTACAGCTACTAGTTATTGACTGCTTCTATGAGCAAGGCCCTTTACATATAATATACTATTACTATTCCTCTTGGTAACTTTGTCAGTGAATATTATTGTCCCTGTTTTGCTGAAGTTCAGTTATATTTCTTGAAAAGTTCATATAGTACCATGGTTTGGGTGTTATCTCCTAAAAAGTTCATGTGTTGGAAGTTTGTTCCCCAGGATCGCAGTGTCAGTAGGTGGCATGGACCTTTTAGCAGCTGGGGTTTAGTGGAAGGTTCTTAGGTCTATTGAAGATGTGTCCTCAGAGGGGATTAAAGATCCTGGTTAGTTCTTGGGAGAGGGGGTTATTATAAAAACTTTAGCTGGGCATAGTGGTGCACACCCATAATTGCAGCTACTTGGGACCTACGGTTAAGGGTGCAAATTTAAATTCATCCTGGGCAGCTTAGTGAGACTATCTCAGAAAAAGAAAACAAATTTAAGGGTTGGGGATGTAGCTCAGTGGAAGAGTGCTCTTGAGTTCTATCCTAGCACCAAATAATAATAATAATAATAACAAATAAAATAAAAAATTTAGCTTGGCCTCATCCTGCCTGTCTGGCTTCCTGCTTGGCGATGTGATTCTTACTCCTACACATGCTTGACACCAAAGGTCCTCGCCAGAGCCAAGTTGATGCCACCATGCTCTTGAATCTTCAGAACTAAAAAAACCTATTTTCTCCAAAAGTAATTTGTCTCAGGTGTTTTGTTATAGTAATGACAAATGGACTAATACACAGTAAATAAAAGTGGTGCGGGCATGATTCAAACCCAAGTTTCTCTCTACTTACAGCTTGTGCTCTTTCTAACACAACACCCTACCTGCACGTGCTAGGCACTCAATCAATCTTTGACCAAAATTATGAGGTATTATTCATTCAAATTATGGTCTACAGTGATCCTTGGGAACACAGGAATTCAAACATCTTTGCAATGAATCAAAATTAATAAAGCCTCTTGTAAATTGGTGAAAGTCTATGTCTTTTTGCTCAGGATTTGACAATGGGACTTAAATGCTAAACAAAGCTAGGAAGGCCAAATGAAGTTATTACCCACTTTATAAATCTCTTGACATAAGTATTTTCAGTATCACTAATCATTAGGGAAATGTAAATTAAGATCACAATGAGATATCACTACACATATATAAGAACAGTTGAGTTTTTTTAAGTGACAATACCAAATGTTGCTGAAGAATGGAGAAGTTCTACCTCTCATACACTGTTGATGGGAATATAAATAGTACAGCCACTCTGGAAATCAATTTGGTCATTTCTTTTTTTCTTTCACCCTTTTTTCCTTTTTTTTTTTTTTTTGAGATGAAGTCTTGCTGTGTAGTCCAGGCTGGCCTTGAACTCATAACCCTCCTGCCTCAGCCTCCCTACTGCTGGGATTACAGACATGTGCTACCACACCTAGCTACAGTTTGGCC